ACTAGGTGGGGTTGATGCAATGAAATGCAGACGGGTCTCTTGTGATACAATAGTGAATAATTGTTATCAGGACTGGTTGTGAGGGTTGGAAATGTAAAGGTAGATGTTTTGTAGTAAGGAGGGGAGTGATTAACTTTTCAGTCTAGGAGTGGAGGTCCCTAGGACCATCAAGGGAGAAGAGCAGAGAGCGGGACCCTACCCAGAGAAGCAGTGATGCCTGAAATTGAGCCAGAGATGATGACGTGGAGCAATGGAGCAGCTGGAGACTTTGGATCCAGAGAGGGAGAGCAACTGTGTGCTGAAGACCTGGCGATTATGGGGTAGGATTGCATGGAGGGGATTGTAACCATGGCAATGAGACGATATACAATAGAATGAATGTAAAACCAATGTTCTCCCATGTAAACTATCATATAATTCACAATAAAACATTTTTTTTTTAAATTTCTTTTTGGTACAGTGACTGTGTATTCCTTCCATCTTCTTCAGATATTTTCTGCATCATTCATATAGAATCCTTCAATGTTTCAAGTTGACACCTAATTTTTTGCCTTCAGTTCCTTCAGCCTGACAAATGCCCAGTGTGTTATTCCCTTTAGGTTTTCTAACTCCAGATCTTTGCAAATTTCATTATAATATTTGAAGCTTGTCTTCTCAAGCTGCCCTATGAAATTTTCTATTCAACTCCTTTACCTCCTCATTTCTCCCATGTGCTTTAGCACCCCTACATTGGAGAGCAACTTTCAGAGTCTCTTCTAACATCCATTTTGGTCTTTTCTTTTTTTCTTTCTTATCTTTGTAATGACATTTTGCTTTCTTTCTGTATGAGATTTTTGATGCCATCCCCCAACACACTCTTCTGGTCTTCAGTCATTAGTGTCTTATTCATGATTCTATGCCATATCAGGGTTGTGGTTATTGATAAGAATGATACATTATTCTTTGCTATTTAAGGGACCCTGGTGGTGCACTGGTAAGTGACCAGCTGCTATTGGAAAGATGTGTGGCTTGAATCCATCAGACTGTTTCTCAAGAGAAAGATACGGCTGTAAGATTTAAAGCCTTAGAAACCTAATGGGGCAATTCTACTCTGTTCTGTCAGGTAGGTAGGTAGGAGGTGAAATCACCTGATGGCAAATGTTTTTGATGTGCAATTTATGAGTTGTCAAAATATTTTTTCTAGACAGAGTTTATGTTTATAATGTTATCATCTGTGTTTGTGTGTACATTGATACTTTATGACTTCCTTGGTGTTGTTAAGTGCAGTAGAGTAAGTTTTAGCTCAGAGTGACTCTGTCTAGGTTTTCTTATGAGCAGTTTGTGGGTATGAACTGCCAATACTGTGGCTAACAGTACTAATTCCACAGCGCCACACCAGGCCTTCTTTAAACTGCAGTAAATACCCAGACCAGCTATAACTTATAGAGGCAGTATGTCATTTAAAACTTTGAGTGCTTTAATACATTATCTTAGAAGAAACTTCCATAAAATGTTGAATTTCCCATCTTTAAACACTCTGTCTATGATTCTATCCAATTAAAGTTGAAAATATTTTAGCAAGTCATTATGGCATAGAGAGGACTTTGTGAAGAGCCTTACAGTATTCAAAAGTGCTTCAATCATTTAATAAAACACAATCAATTACTCAACCTTTTGTATGCTAGGAACTCAATGTTCCTATTAGTCAGTGTGCAGAAGATATTTCAGTAAGTTAAAGCACTTGAATTCTTGAGTATTAATTTTTATGACAATTTTAAAAATTAAATACTTTTCTTAGATATTTATTTAATTGTTCACTAACTACTGAGGCTCTACTGTGTGCCAGGCACTGAAGAAAAAAATGATTTATTAAACACAGATACAGATCTTCCTTTGAATGAATCAGGAACATGGTTGCAGTGATATATACGAGGATGCTTCAAAAAGTTTGTGGAAATACTGAATTAAAAAATGAATTTTTCTACATATCTTTTGAAGTTCTAATTTAAAAAGAAAAATCATTCAGATAAATGCAAAATTCAAATACTAAGAGCCACTGAGGAACATGCAGTCCTGGTGTAGCATTGCAGGATAATACACTGAACTTCAAGGTTGGGAGTTCAAACTCACCAGCTGTTCCTTGGAAACCCTATGAGTTGAAACTTACTCAACTATACTTAACAACAACAAAAATCAAAGAACATGGTGCTATGAGAGAATATAATGGATGTGGGAAGACTGGCTTAGTACATTTTAAGATTCTGATGATAGCAATATACAAATTTTGCCTATGAGAATTCTGCACCCATAATAAAATGTTCCCAACATTCCCTAGTAAGTGACAGAGCTTGTAAGATAATCCATTTGTATAAAATCCTTTCCTATTTTCTTAGGGTGCATTCCTAATGTGATTCAGTATTCCAGCTGCTTCTTGGAAACCTTATACAGGGTCACACAATGAGTTGTAACCACATCAATAATACTAAACAACAACAAAAATTTTCTGCCTATAATTTTGTCATAAGTGTACCTATTCATTACTTGAACAATCTTAGATCTAAGCACTTCATAAATTAAAAACAACAATAAAGCAGAGGATGAGAGACTATAACAGGTACAAAATAACAGGGAGAAATTATTGTATTTACAGACTCTGGGTGGCACAAACAGTTAAGTGCTCAACTACTAGCTAAAGGTTAATAGTGTGATCCCACCTCGAGATATCAAAGAAGATATGCTTCCCAAAAGTCACAGCCTTGAAAATCCTATGGAACAGGTCTACTCTACACCAATGGGGTCCCTGTGAGTTGTAATTGACTCAACAGCAACTTACAACTGCAACAACAAATGTCAGATCCCATGTTGCTATCATTTAAATAGTTTTTTTATTTTTCAGAACACATGAAATTTATTTCCCAGAGTATTTATAACTATCTTTAATTTTCTTCTTCCTGTGCTAGCTTAACCTATATAAAATGGCTTCATCACACTGGTCTAAAGATTACTTTTAGAAAAAATGATGACATCCTCCCAAGGTTGTTGCCACTACCAAATCTGTACAGCCCAGTAGTCAAAATCTTCCTTACAAGTCAAGAGTTTGGTGCACGTCAAATGCTTCTATTATTTTAAGAGATGTAATGGTCACTTATGCACATAAATACCAATTTTATGTTATGAAAAGTTATCAGAAATTTGATTATTAATTAATTTTTCCTAAGCAAACTCTTCTCTACTTATAATATAGTTTCTTTACTAAGCTTATAGCCTTCACGAAATTGCAAAAATGAAAATAAGTGCCTGTAAGAGCTAAAATATCTTCTTTGGATTTTAATAGTAGTTTGTGATATGATTTAGATTTTCTCTATTTTATATATCCTCAAAGGAAAGAGCACGAACAGTCTGCTGTCAGTATACTTGATGAATCTTTGCAGGCTCTGTTTTATATTTTAAAGTCAGTGAAAATAATTCTTAAGAGAACTGTAACAAAATTATTACTTGCATTTTTTAATAGGAAAGACTTATTACAAATACCATCACATAAATGTGTTTCTTTGTTCATGATGCTGTCTATAGTAACTCATTTATTATAAGTTAGTTGTTAAGTGTTGTCAGGTTGGTTTTGATTCATACGGTTTCCAAAGAGCAACTGGTGGTTTAGAACCACGAACCTTGTAGTGAGCAGTCCAGTGCTTAACCCAGCAGTGCTATACCAGGACTCTCATTTATTACACTACAGACTAATTCCATGTTAATAAACACCTGTTGGATAAATGAGTGAATGAATGAATGGCATATGACCATGAATTTTACTCCACATATTAACAGTTCCAGTATAACACTTGTCACCTTAGGGCATTTGCATCAAGCAGTTTACAAATTCAATCTACCAAAAAAATAAAAAATAAAATAAAATAAAATAAATAAAAATTCCAGTTTACAAAATAATATGAATTTGACATTTAAAAGTATACCAAAACCCAAAATCTATTCAGTAAATCTTATTCAGTGGATTCTGACTCATAATGACACTATAAAATAGGTTAGACTGGCCCATAGGGTTTCCAAGGCTTGAATTTTTATGGCGGAGTCTTGGTGTAGGTATGATAAGCACTGAACTGCTAACTGCAATGTCAGCATTCAAACCCACTAATTACTCCTCAGAAACACTACACAAGGTTGCCATGAGTCAGAACTGACTCAACAGCACTTAAGAATAACAATCATCAAGGAACCTGACTGCCACATCTTTCTCCCAAGAAGTGGCTTGTGAGTTTCAACCACTGACCTTCTGGTTAGCAGCTGAGCACTTTAACCACTGTGCCACCAGGACTCCTTTAAAAGCACACTCCCCCAGAGTAATTAATCTTATAGTCCAGATACAGAGGACCCTAGGACCATCAAGGGAGAAGAGCACAAGCAGAATACAGGATCTTATCCAGAGAAACAGTGATACCAGAGATGGAGGCAGAGATGGGGACATGAGAGGGGGAGCAGCTGAGGACTCTAGATTCATGGAAAGAGAGGGACTGAAAGCTGGAGGCCAGGAGGCAGACTTGCAGAATGTGCCTTTGGTGGTATAAATTATTATATGTGCCTGAGTGGTTAAAAAAAAAAAAAGGGAGGGGGCTAAAATGAATTGAGAGAAACATTGTTAACTGATGGTACATGGAGATTATAATCATTGTAATGAAACAAAATGCATGATTTGTTGAATGTAGAACTGATGATCTGCCCTGTAAACTTTCTCTCAATTTACAATAAAAACTTAAAAATAAATAAATAAATATATAAATAAAGAGAATATGGGGGAAAAAAAAGTACACTATCCCACATTCACCCCCACACCCCCCAAAATCACCCACTGCTGTGGAGTTGATTCTGACTTGTAAGGGTCCTATAGGATACAGCAGAACTCTTCCACCATTGGATTTCAGAGGGTGGTCATCCATAGGGGAGCAGATTACCTCCTATAGTCTTTATTTATTTTTGTTTTTTAAAGAAAAAGGCTAAGCAATACATACCATTATCAAAATATCTGACTGTTGAATTTCTGGACACACTGGGATCAAAATTTGCCATTAAAGGTGCTATGTACTGCGTGGCTGTTAACATTCGATGTACAACTTCTCCAGTGTATATAAAACCTGTAATTAGAAAAATTGGAATTATGTTAAGGAACGAAGTCTAGATAACATTGTAATTAAAATTCTTCCAACTTACTTACACAGTCATACTTTGAAAATAACATAATAGGCAGGAAAAGGTTGAACAAAAGTTGTTTCTGGAGCAAATAGATTCTCATGATTTTGTAGTGACTTGTAAATCAGTTATCTATACAATGCAGATTTTAACTGTGGGAAAGGGCTTGAGTACTTTAAAAAGATTATTAAGCTGAGAAATGTATATACAGTGTAACAACCAACTCAAGTATTCAATTTGCCATTATTAGCATCTTGTTATTTTAACATGAATCTAACATAGATGACCTTTTTACAAATGAATTCATTTTCTTGAGATTTATTTGCAGTTTCTTGTACTGCAATTTCAGGTTAGAAGATTCTGGAAACCACACAAGCATACCTTTAATACGAAAATACAGAAAATATGTTGATCCTTTTCTGGAAAGTTGAAATGAGGCCAAACAGCCAGGGAGAAATTTGAACATGTCTCATATTGAAGCTTTTATAATATTTGCACCGTTTACAAGAAGATAAAGTCTTTGTTAGCAGAAAAGAGGCCAAAACACTGATAATGCCTCTCTAGCAAGACAACCATGTTGTTGTTGTTGTTGTTGTTAAGTGCAGTTGAGTTGGTTCCGACCCATAGCGACCGTGAGCAGGGTTTCCGAGGCTGTAAATCTTTACGGGAGCAGAAAGCCTCATCTTTCCCCTGCAAAGCAACTGGTAGTTTTGAACTGCTGACCTTGTGGTTCGCAGCCCGATTCATAACCGCTACACTACCAGAGCTCCTTGGGATTATGGGAATGTGTTTACTATGAAAGACTTCATCTTTGAATTAACTTTTGGTAGTTTCTATGCTACAACCTTAACCAACTTTCAATTATTCACACTGGGTTTATTTCCTTTGCAGATTAGCCATGAAAAACTGTTAATCCTTTGCTGTTTCTTGCCTCCATGATTTCTAGTTGCCTGAAGAGATAACCAGTTCAATAACTTTAATTATAACTATCAACTTAACATATGCATAATTAAATGCATAAATGCAAATGAACACACACATCCAAAGAAAATTTTTATAACATCATATTATTTGGGCAATCACGAGTGACCTAAGTGTCTAAGAGTACTATAGTTTTTTTGTTTTGTTTTGTTTTTCTGCGTTCACAAGCATTAATTCAAACAAGGAAGCTTAAAAAGAAAAAAAATAATAATAAATTAAAAACTCTTACATGATGTTGCAGTATTCAACCATGACAAGTGTTAATATTTTATTATTCCACTTCATGAGTTGAATAAAGCCTTTTGTTGGCAAACTGTGTTATTTATTGTTACAAATTCTAAATTTTGATTTGTAATTAAAGGCTGTTGCTCTTAAGTGCCATCAAGTCAATTCTAATTCATAGCAACCCTGGGTAGAGTTTTCCAAGGAGTGACTGGTGGGTTTGAACCGCTGACCTGACAAGTTAGCAGTCCTCTGATTTTTGTATAATGCTACACCAAACTATAAAATTTGTGCTTATTTAGTTCTGTCTTTCTAGCAATGCCTTTTGTGTGACTTCATTTTATTTAGTTTGTAAAAGGTATTAACTGAACTCTAACTCTACAAGTTCAGAGTCTGATTTTGAAGAAGTAAAATTTCAGCATGTATTTAAACCACTGGTTCTTCTATGTCATTCGTTAAGTGGTGTCCTTCAGAAGAAATTTCTCCTATTTCTTAAGAAATTTTTGTACATTTTTATAATTTCATATAGCCCAAACGTCCTAAAAGACATTATGGTGATAAGGTTGCTATTTTAATTTATTTCCCACCAGTACAAGATTTTCATAGTCTCATTCTTAATATTTAAAGTGCTATGTTGTTGTTGTTAAGTACCATGGAGTCAATTCTGACACATAGCGACCCTGTACAAGGTTTCCGAGGCTGTAAATCTTTACGGGAGCAGAAAGTCTCATCTTTCTCCCATGGAACCGCTGGTAGTTTCAAACTGCTGACCTTGAGGTTGGCAGCCTGACTCGTAACCACTATGCTACCAGAGCTCCTTTTAGCATCATATGTTAAAAACTGTTAACCTTGCGGTTAGCAGCCCAGTGCTTAACCTACTGTGTCACCATGACCCCACAAAATGAAGACTAATGATTTTTTTCAAGGTCTCCAATTTACTTTTTATCGTGTCTCCTCATCAGAATGCATTTATATTTTCACCACTAAACTGCACAAAATTCTATAGAGAAAATCTTTGATGGAGGAGATTGAATTATATTCTGAAAGCGATTTTTGTTAAACAACTCCAGGTAGCCATTTCCCTACTCTATATTCTACTTGTACTAGTTGAAGTACAATATATGTATTCCACAAGGAGCTCTGGTAGCGTAGTGGTTACGAATCGGGCTGCGAACCTTAAGGTCAGCGGTTCGAAACTACCAGCCGCTCCGCGGGAGAAAGATGAGGCTTTCTACTCCCGTAAAGATTTACACCCTCGGAAACCCTGTACAGGGTCGCTATGGGTCAGACCCGACTCGATGGCACTTAACAACAACATATGTATTCCACATATGTTCAGAAAGAATAAAAAGAGCAATCAAAGTAGAAAGATAATTTCAAATCAATATAAAATGAATTCTCTGTAACAACTTCATAAGAAAGCAGCAACACTTTCTAGAAAAGCCGGAACAAAATGCAAGAGCACTGATTACTTCACATATATAATTATTTCTCTTACTATTTAAAACAAGTAACATATATATACTTGCCCCTGGATATTTCTACAGAGATTTGGCAAGAAGTTACTCTCCACGCAACATAACCCAACTTTCAAATCAGAAGAATTAGCAATTGCTGTTTCTTTCCTCAGGATAGAATTTTCCAGCAAAATTTCAAGGCAGAATTTCATTTTCCCCCGAAAAGAACTAAGTAAAAATATATAAACCCTATGGTTATAATTCTTGATTCTCTAACATTATCACATTAACATACACTACAATTACTAACTCTGTAAGGACTAAAGTAGCTGCAACTACTATTAAAATGAGAATAATCACTACAATCTGTTAACACATCTGTCACTATGTTATTACTACTTTCCACTACTACTAGGAGTCCTGGTGTGGCTCTGTGGGCTAATGCATCAGACTGCAAAACCGTCTGAACTGCAAGCTCAGTAGTTCACGCTCACCAGCTACTCCTTGGAAACCCTATATAGGGTCACTATGGTTGGAATCAACTTGACTGCACTTAACAACAACAACTAAAAAATACCACCAACAAAGCTACAAGAATTAATGTGGGGGAGAAAAGGTGGAAAATGCAATTAATTTGAAAAATGAGTTCAATTTTGCTAATTCAGAGAATAACTGCTTAGCTATCCCCCATCATATTGAAAACAACTCCTACCAAATGTCAAGTTAGTTTTTAGTGACCAAGATTTAAAATGCTTATTATAACAATGAGATCTACCTTTCTGTTGCTGTTGTTGCTGTTCAGGTATAGAATTGATTCTGACTCAAAATATTAACTGGGTCTGAAACAACCACACAGTTGTTGCTATGTATGAGCCCACTGTTGACGTCATTGTGTCAATCCATCACATTGACTCTCTGTATTATCAAGCATGATGCCCTTCTCTAGGGACTGGTCCCGCCTAATTACATGTCCGAAGTGCCTAAAACAAAGTGTCACCATTCTCCCTTCTAAGGCACATTCTGACTGTGCTCCTTCCAAGATACAATAGTTTGTTTCCTGGAAGTCCATGGTATATTTAGTATTCTTCACCAAACACCATAGTTCAAATGCATCAATGCATTTTTCATTGTCCAGCTTTAGCAAGCATCTGAAGCTAATGAAAATACCATGGCTTTCATCAGGCATACCTTAATCCACAAACTAACATCTTTGCTTTCAAACATTTTAAGCAGGCCTTTTTTGCAGCAGATTTGCCCAATAAAATGTGTCTTTTGATTTCTTGACAGCTGCTTCAGTGGGCATTACATGTGGATCCAAGTAAAAGGAAACCCTTGACTTCAATCTTTTCTCCATTTACTATGTGTGGCTATTTGGTCCAGTTGTGAGGATTTTTGTTTTCTTTATGTTGACGTCTGTAGTCTTTGATTTTCATCAGTAAGTACTTTAGAAGTCTTCTTCTGTTTCAGCATGCAAAGCTGTAACATGTGCATATCACAGGTTGTTACAGAGTCTTCCTCCAATCCAGATGCCACGTTCTCGTTTTTAGAGTACAAATTCTCAGATTATTTGCTCAGCATAGAGGTTGAATAAGTAAGGTGAAAGGATATAACCCTGGGGCACAACTTTCCTGACTCAAAATCATGCAGTATCCCCTTGTTCTTTTCTAATGATTGTTTATTCCTCTGTGTACAGGATCTGTATGAGCACAAATAATTGTTCTGGAATTCCCATTCTTTGCTATGTCGCCCATGAATTGTTATAATCTACATAGTTGAATGCCTTTGCATAGTCAGTAACATGCAAATATCTTTCTGATATTCTCTGCTTTCAGTGAAGATCTCTTCTAGTTGTTGGCCAGGTAGCTGGCATCTACATTTCTTGACAAAACAAAGTAGCACTTCTAGTGTTGCATTGATTTGTTGAAACATCTCAATAGATAATCTGTCAATTCTGGAATCCTTGGTGTTTTTGTCAGTTTTTTCAGTGCAGCTTGTGCTTCTTCCTTCAATAACATTAATTCTTGATTATATGCTACCCCCTAAAATCGCTGAATGTGGGATCAATGTCGACTCTGTATTCTCTCCATCTTCTTTTGGTGCTTCTGGGCCATCCAGCATTGTGTCCATATCCTTCAATACTACAATTT